GCACAATATGGTTCATGGGGTCACAAAGAGTCAGACACGACTTAACGACTGAACAACAACATTTAATATGGAGAAAAGAAATTCAAAAGATGGTATGATAGCCATCTTAAAATATTTGAAGAGCTTATATATAAATCACAAATTCTCCAGTGGGTAAGGGCATAGCACAGGATTTAAACATTAAGAACAACTCCATGAAGTTACAAGGTAACGGTAGAACAGCTCCTTGGAAAGTGGGGGCCTCTTATTTGAAGATAAGTAGAATCTGGATTGCCAGTTATCATGGATACATTGCACTGGCAAAGGTGGACTTTAAAATAAGTTGTTCTAGGGCTATGCAAGGGCTTTGGCTCTGAAAGGAAAAAGCAGCTTTGGAGTGCACAAAGTGCTCGCCGTGACCAAACTGCAGCACCTGAAACCAAACACACTTTTTTCCAAAATGGTGGGGCAACTCTGCACAGCTGCAGCAAATCCTCAGTAAAGGTGACTTTTGTTTAGAGAGTTGCAGAAAGATGCTACATATACATCCCTAGGCACCCTGAAGCATTGTACAGTCCTCCTTCCTATATGACACCCAAAATTGAATGGCTGTATTCATAAACCACATTAAGATTTGCTTAACTAGTTTTATAGTAAGTCACAATTTACTAAGCTACAGACAAGCAAACCAAATGATGGCTTAGAATCCAGACTATGAGCTCTACATTGGTATTGTCTGAAGCACATTTCCCCCCTTTACCAACATTACCACATATAGTCAAAAGATTTGCAGCTATAATGTATTTGCCAACATAGAGCAGCATTTCTCAGGCAACTTTAAATCCAGTTAGCAGCAATGAGTATATTTCTGTCCCAATGGGTGACGTCTACTATCCCCAAATGCGCTGCACGGACACAGCCTGTGTTCAAGGAACAAATGTACAGAAGCACCCAAACTCATCGGTGATTTCTGATCCTTCATATGCAGATAAGGGCACAGTGCCTTAATTTATCAAACTGGGGAAAGAACTTTTACTCAATTTTTCCTTCACAACTTTTTGAATGACCACAAACAACTTGGAGTTCAATTATAATTTGTAGCCTTCAGTAATTCCAAGGAGCAAATGCAGATAGGGGGTTGAAATCAAGTATGTAGTGTAGGGGTATCCAAACTCTTCAGCTCATCCACTCCTTCATGAAGTTTCAGATTGTTCATCAACCCCCATATTAATAGTACTACGAATCATAACACCATCAACCTTGGATAGTCCTATCAACCCCTGGGGGGTCTATACTGACATTTTGGGGAACCCTGATGTAAAGGATGGAAATGAACAAATTCTAGTTTATTATGACAAATAATTCAAGTGTTTCTTATATACCTGAAATAGCCTCATGCTACTTTCAGATTCCATTATCCACCCAGCTAGAACCATCTGTTACATGCAGATATATGCACTGACTGAAAGATGTTTTAGGACACTGAACATTAAATATTAAAATTAAAAAGCCAAGTATTCCAGTATGTGAATATTAATTAATTGAACCACTATCCAATTAACTGAGCAAAGTTTGTGAAGAGTAAATTAAAGGTTAAATGATGACATCTGATGTTCTTGTTAAAGTAAATGGCAATTACAGTCTCCCATGGTAACATCTCATGCTGTTTCAGTAACATTAGAATGGGATACTATACATGGAAGAAGTTGACAAGGTAATTTTGGGCATGGACTGTGTGCTAGGAGGGCACCACACTACATCCATGAACCTGAGATGCTGTCTTACCTAAATGAGATCCCTGTCTACTTAAACCAGTACTATTTACTGCAACAGGAACTCTTAAGATCACAAATAATCTCCAATATTGCTGAGCATCTTCAATAATGACATGTAATCTTCTGAACCCAGATTTAAATACAGTGTGATTTTACTCAATGGATCATGTTTGTATCATAGTGGTATGTGCACATTGCAAACCTCAAATATTTCTCTTAACTCTTCCTTTATATTAATCAGAATAGAAGTTCTGAAACTATAATCCTGAAGAAATGTATTGTGTTAAGGAAATAACTGTTTAGTTTAAGCTTGTCAATTATTACTTGTACAAAATCATAGCTGTTGTAAAGCAATTCTAATGGTTTCAATGAATAAAATCCCAGTTTATCTTAAAAGTTGCTTAGTCCATTTGAACTGTCATACAGTTATGTGTTGGCAAAACACTTCATCATGTAACAGAAGATTTTAATGAAAATACTTATATAATTTAACTTTGATTTCAATAGCATACTGGCTTCTTTGATAAGACAGAGAATGAAGTAAAATGATTTTAAACATCCCTACATGAAGAAAATTCATCTACATTTTATATACATATATATATATAATAAATATATATGTATATAATGAACATTAAAATAAACTGCAATATTCAAGTTTCAAACAATTCTACTGTACTTTAATACTTCATTAAGAAAATAAACTTTAAATAAAACACATTCAATATACCATTGTTAACAAATTAAAATACATTGTTAAATTTACATTGTCAACCAAAGCTAAGTAGTGAGCAGACATCTCAGGGCTACTCCAAATAGAAACTCCTCTCAATATTTCTCACCTATTTGTACAAAATGTAATGTAGGATTTTCTACTGCCTATGAAATACACAATTGCCAAAAAGAATTGCATGGGCAGGTCTAGAATGAACTCTGGCACTTGGTCACATATCTGACAACACTGATATGGTATCTGGAAATTTAAACTATTTCAGTGCTGTTCTGTTGATTTTCACTGCCTCAAAATTTTATTGGCACAATGTGGTACCTTATGTTTTGAAAGTGCTTTTTTTCTTGTAATAGTAAGTTATAAATCTAGTTTTCCAAATGAAAATAATTATTGAATTTGATAAAACATTTCTTTCTGGGCCAATAAGGCCAAGCTGACATTTGTAAAACATTAATGTAAAGCCTGCAATTTAAAATTGGGATGAAGACTTTAAGGACACTAATTTGCTTTAGATGCTACTGCTGTGCCCCCATCCTTGAGAGAACAAGCAGATAGCCCGAAGAAGTCCTTTAATTTTGTCTTCCTTCTACCTCTTACAGATAGGTATACTATACATACATATATATAAAAAGGCATCATACAAAAACAAGGATAGTGTGCATCATTTGCTCAACAACCTAATCAATTTGCAACCAGGATTTCTGGTGAACAGAGAAAAGGATAAATCACTGTATGAGAGATATGCGTTTGACTCTGTGAACAGTGGGCAGCACACTGCAATCTAAATACCAAATAAAGTTTCATTTAGCACAATACCTTGTTGAAAAATTCTGATTTCCCCCCCTCTCAGTTCTAGTTCAATTTAATGAAATAATTTGCTTTCAAAATTTATTTCAGAGGAGAGAATTTTGGTGAAATTCACTTGGGTGGAGAATGGTGTTTTCATACCTATTGAGCTGTGATGGTCACAGGGTAAATGCCCTGTTCTTCACTGTACAATAATATCTCCAGCAGTTTGCAGCTTAGCAGCTTTCATGAGACTGGAATGTGTAGGCACTGAAATGCAGATATGTAAAACAGAAACCACCACCTTTTTGTCAACTATATTGAAAGCTAAAAAAACCACCAGGAAGATAAACACAAAATAAAATTTCAATTATAAGGTAGAAAAGATGAGATCATTTGCAGGGGAAAAATACTCATTAACAGTAAGGCTGATTTCAGCACAATATTAATATACAAACCCATCCAAAAGCATGAAACCTGCACAAAGCCCAAAAATCAATCATGATTTTGGTAGGATAAAATTATTTCTCATGCCAATTATTTATAATCTGACTTTTAAGATAAATTATCTACAAGGCAGCTTGCAAGCAGTATCAACCATAAATAAAAACCAAATAAATAATTGTTTAAAAAAATCCTGGAATCCTTCCTACAGGGCAGTTAGTTGGTGGAGCCAGTCCTTTGGTGGAAGGTGATAGAGGAGAACAGTCCAGTCGGAGCATGCCTTTAAGAGTATCTTCATGGGCCTTTCTCTTCATCTCTATCTCTCTAGAAATCCTTCCCACTAATTGCCCTCAACAATTACTTCATGAAGCTGATAACATGTAGGCAACAATGCCCAAACTAAACTAACATAGTTCTCATTTCTTTAACAATAACTATTATAAATGTACAACCTTTTAATACTATTTGCAGAGTGAAACCCTCAATATTAAATGTCATGCTTTCTGAGATGGCATTGGTACACTTACTGCAAGTCCTATTATAAAAAAGGGAATAGCTTTTGCAAGCATCATGATCAAGAATCAAAAGGGGTAAGTGGAACAAGTACCTATAACAGTAAGAATCGAGTAGCACCTTACATTTATGTGGTTATTAAAGTGCCATGGATAGAGCCTACTTCAACCAATATTAGAACAGAATGAATGACACAGTGATGATGGAACAAAGTAATGCTGTAACTCGGAATATAAGCAAGTATCTCAAAATTGTAACTATGGATTGATTTCTTGAAAGCCTCAGATGATAATCCAAGTCAATCATATGTACCGATGGCCAATGGTTATCTAAATCTTTAGATCATCGAACTGTCATTTTCCATCCTTCTACCTGGAGGACTGAGGAAACCCCAACATGAATACACAAACATTTTAAGATAAAAATGTTATCTTAAGTAGGGGGAAGTCAACTTAGCTTCCCCCCTCCACTGGGCACTAAATACTCAATAGCATATTAGCTATTTGAGGTGGAGATGATACTTGGCAGCTGGCTGGCTGGGCTTCTGTACATATATTCTTGTGTTATAGTTACATAGATGTATGTAATTAAAAAACCCCTGCTAAACAGAGACAAAATGCAATCCCAATGGTTATAAATTATTTTCATTCATTATTCAAAGGCAAGATTTTTCAGGACAAAATAAGGCTTTCATTTCTACAATATAAATATTTGGATAGAGCAATCTTAAATTGGTGTTGTAGGAACCCACATTTACTACACCCTATCGATTTGGTATAATCCAGGGAGATAGCTCTTGGGCTGGTAATTTTCTGGCTCTGTTTGGGCACATATTCATAAACAGGGGGCCTACAATTTAGCAGATTTTCGGCTGACTCATGACTGTCTCCTATTTGACAATCTAGGGGAAGGAGTGAAAGGGAAGCCCTGATGTTGGAAGCTTCATTGCCGCCTGTAGAGAATTTCTGTGGGTGAATGGATGTCCATGGATGATTTTACAGTTATCTATGAACTTGAAACACTTCAAGGAGCCAGTTTCTTTTTTAAACTCAAAGGATTATTTATCTCCATGCTTAAATTATTAACATTAATATTTTTCATTTTTTCTTACATTAAAAAATAGTTTACAAGTAGATTCCCACATGTGTTAAAGTGTGTGTATGAATGTATGTGCATATGAAAGTGTAATTTTTCTGATATTGTGCGTAAAAAGTAGACACTCAAGCTCAAGTCCAGATGACTACATGGACACAATTTTCTGCTATTAGTCTTGTCTGCATCACACTTGCATGTTGCTTTATATTTACCAGTTATAATCTAGTTGTAATTTTTCTAGATTTATATTTCTTGTGTTGTTATACAATCTGTGTCATTCATTCTGTCACTAAATCATTATAATTTCCTTTACATTTTACTCAAAATCCATGATCTGCATTGACAGATTCATATACCCAGTGAACTTGTTTTTTTTAATCAGGTTCCATATCTATGCCTTATAGCAAATTATTTAACAAAAGTATCAAAAACATTTAGTGATAAGGCATGGGTACCAGCTATTGGAAAAAAGCAGTCCTATTCGGTGCATTTATTTACAGGTTAGTCCAGCCTTAGGATCAGACTATTTAATTTAATGGCAAGATCTCTGAATTTATTTTGCTAGTATAATACTATTAGAACTCATGTAGTATTTAAGCCAGTTTTATCTTCTAAATATCATTATTCCAGATTTCTATCAAACAGTGAAAACAGTCTTAGTTAATGGTGGCAAATAATAGCAGTATTAAAAGGTAAGGAGACCAATGGACAGATATCATGAATGTAACTTCAGTGGAAATACAATGATTTTTATAGTGCTTAGCAAATTGCTCCCAAGGTGAGTCTTCTGTAGTACCACATTCAGTAATGAAAAGGTAAAGTCTCTTTTGAGCTAGGCTTGACTTCGGGTGACTTTGTATAATACTGATTTTAAAAACGTAGCCTTTTCTTCTCCCAAGTGTTAGTTTGTTCATATTCATTACATACCAATCTTTTTATCAGCCTATTAGTACAAATACAACAAGGCAAGATTAAGAGTTTCTAAAGGTAAAGCTTAGTTCAAAACTTTACTTGGCAAGTAAAAAATACCCTAGATATAAAATTTCATAAAAGTATTGTTTTAAGCCACAGTAGTGATCATTCAACTGATCATAATGATTAGATACTATAAAGTATCTAGAATTATAATCTGGGGCTAACCAGATATGTAAAGTGCTTGGAGTGATTTTCAAAAACAACTAGTTACAATTGGATATGGCAACATTCACTGTATACCATCTACCTTTAGGGAATTTTTAAAAAGTATTGATATAGACATGCCACTTGGTATTCAGCTATAGTATTATTTGAACAGCATTAAATTCTTATATTCCCCTCCCCTCAACCCCAATCACTAAAAATACTAATAATGTGTTATTTCAAAAAGAAAAACACAATGGTTCCATATCACACCTTTCACTATTCACTCCAACTGTAAACAAGACATATAGATTCCCTGACTTGTCCTGCTTCAGTGATATCACTTAAATAACATAACATTGCTAACTGTCAATGCACATTTTGAAGAAGTACCATCATTTTGTTTCTTTTTTTTAAAAAGCAACATTTGTATTGTAGATTAAGAAAGGAAGTTCTAAAAGTGGCTGTGCACTGAATGTAAAGCTTCAAATCCTTTTGTCACCTGTCAGAATTTCTTTGCCAAGAGTACTGTCCAGAGGATACTAATGATGGTCACAGAAGCTGATGATTATCCTGGCAGATAAAATCCCAACTGGAGGTGGTAGTTGTTTTCTTCCTTAGAAAGCTTATTTCTTTAGAAGATCTTTCCAACATTAGACACCTTGTTTTCTTGCATCTTCTTCTTTAAACAATATGCACATGTTTTCCCTTATCCCTGCAGAAATCTGATTCCACACTATTCCTTCCACTGTTAAATATTAAATAGCCCGTAAACGCAGCTAATTTGCAGGCAATGTATATTCTTAAATTCATTGAATAATCACATAACCAGATTCTTTTTAAAGAGTGAAAATTGCTCCAATTCCTTTCCTTCAAAATCCATCTCTATTGCAGTGTCTTTGTTTAGGAAATTTTTCCAACAATTGGGTTTTCTCTAGAAAAGAAAAAAGAACCTTATCTAATTATCTGGTAGAAACAGTAGATTAAAAATTATTTTTTCACTTACAATTAGTGTTGTTTTCTGACCACAGTAAAACTACAATTTTACAGATCCCCACTGAGCAGACTTTGGTGCAACAGACCAAATATCCACCTGGATATCCCCCACAAATAAAGAAAAGGTCTGCTGCATTCAAAGAGTCTGAATGAGGGAGCTACATTTACTTTAATTTTATCTTAATTTTATGACATTTGAGGCAATTCATATAATTTGCATAATGACATTCCTATGGAAATGAGTAAAACTGGTGCAAATAATGTATTTTCACACTTAGCAGTCAGTTGGGAATATTGAACACTTCCTCTCCCAATTAGTCCATTAAATCAAGGTTTTACTGTATTACGATTTGCAGAGCGAAGGATGTGTTCTTGCATTACAACTCTAAACACATCTCATCCATAAAACTAGTCATATTCATTTAAAATTAGTTGGGTATTGATAAGGACTGCATTTAGTTATGATATGCTCAATCTCCTTCAGAATTAACTCTCTTCCCAACTGACATCTTCCAATATGTTGTATAGAGCAGGACAAAATCCACTTGCTTGATCTCTAATCACCTGCCCCCAAATTTGAATGGATTGCAAGTCATCTATGTTAAATATATAGTGAATGATGATACGTGAACATTTAGTTCAACTATTTTTCACAGCCAAAACTCATTGTCATGATTTTGAATAATACATAATAATGTATTAGATGACTATGTGGTCAAAGAATGACATTAACATATAGTTGCAGTTTGTTAAAACACAAACCTGTTGTAATGGTAGAACTACCTACAATACTTACTCACTGCCATATTTAGCGCTAGATGATCTTTTTTCCCGATATCTATCATGATGTATGTTCAGTTGTTCTACAATTGATATTATTTGCTGAAGAGTTTGAAAAGTTGCTACTGAGTCCTCTATTTTAAAATTAGAATAATCATCTGGCTCTTTCTGTGGACCTTGGTAGACTGCTATGCTTCCACAAGCCTCTAGAAGTAAGTAAACACCAGAGTATTATACAAGCTTTAAATGTTCAAGGAACAAACTTTTGCTGTTCTGCATTTTCAGACATAGGACTTGTATCATAAATGTGGATGTTTAAAATAATGAAGAAGGGTATTTTCTGGGCATAAGACAAAGTTGTTCCCTGTTAATGCACTAATTCATCAACATAAATTAAGCAATTTAAATTATTTGTTATCTGGGTTGATAAGTACAAACTTTTCCATGAAAAAAATAAAAGGACCAAAAGGCTCAGTGTTGTGTTCTTCTATCATACGCCTGTAAGTTCTATCAAGTCTGTAAGTCCAGAAGATGGCACTGAGTCATGTAATCTCTTGCATAAAATCTAACCTCAAGTACAGGATAAAAACAGCAGCAGCCCAGTTGGATAAAACTTGGTTCCCAAATAATGAACATCAAATATGGTCACTCCCTGGTTCTGCAACCCCACATTTACTACTTGGGGAATACTTATAATCCCAATTTACCGTGATCGTATATATAGCTTAGATCTACTAGGGCCTTTGAAGTCACATACACCACTTCCACTATTGCTATAGCTGGATAGAAGGCTCAAACAAAACCTATTTGGATTGAATGGACATTTGGCTTCAACAGACACCCCTCCCTTCCACTTATTAGCTTATTACATTTAGGGTTTACTTTATTAACACATATGCAAGTAACTGAGATGTACACTGATAGAATACTTTGAGATTCATATCTTAAATAATTGAAAGATATTAAGTGAAGAGTTTTTCTGTTTAATAATTGAAATAAGTAACTGTGTTTACAATGAATGGAATGCAAAGAAAGCCAAGGGAGATGCCCGGCAGAAGTCTCCATTCTCTTCTATACCTAATAAAGCCCCACATCCTTTAAAAAAAAACTCCCAAGGACCAGGAACTCCCAAATGAATATTGGGGACTATGGTGCTGGGGAGGAGAGGAGCTGGGAAAAGCCTGGAAGAAGTCTAACTCTACCATTCTTGTTCCATGTGATTTTGTTCTGAGCCAACCCATTGTATTTTAAAATCACCTGGAATGGATATAAGATTATAGATTTGGACAATAGCTAATTGCCCCTTTATTAATATTACAAATTTGACTGTGTTACTTTGACAAATGAGACTTTCATACCTTGCATTTTCTGGAGCTTTGGCATACTGATAGCAAAGAGTGAGTAGATTCTCTCTGTTTCTCGATCTCCATCTATTTCTATCTGAATGTCAGCAGGTACACCTCTTCAATTAGAAGCATAAATGTATATTTCTTCATTTTGCAAAATAGGTTATTTTTAAAGGAGCTTAACTAGCTATATATTAATGCATATACAAATCTAAATAGTTACATTTAAAACAAATATTCCTAAAACATGATATAAAACTTAGTATGAAAGTACTGCGCACTGTCATCTCCTTTGAGTAATACATTAAGTAGCAAATATTTAAAATGGTCAACTTCACAAACAAGTGTAAAAGAGCAAGCAAGCAATGCAGATGTGCAAAACTTCTAGATCATTTACACTTATAGCTGTATCATGATAGGTAAGTGTTCTTAATATGTGAACCTGAAACAGATATCAAACCAGCCCATAAAGCTATAGCAAACCCATCTGTAAGGCTAGTCAACTGCAACTTCTTAATTCATAATATGATGCAATAACCATGTAGACAACAGTCATATTATTTGATGCTGGGACAATATAAGTTTATGGTGAAAAGTAGGAAATGCATCAAATCCCACTTTCCATTCTGTCTGTGCTTCAGGCAGAGAAAGGCTCACTGAGCAAGCATCAAGCAACCATCTCTTTAGTAAAGAATAAGCAGGAATAAGAATGAAACTTAGATACATACATACACATACAACCATCATGTTATTGCCTTTTGAGCAGGCAACATATAAAGCACAGAGAATAAGAAATATTAAGCCAAAAATATCAAAAGCTTGAAATGAAAAAGAAATACTGTTAAATCTAATTTATGCCAAGCCCATTCAGTACATCTCTCCTCCCTTCCAAAACATTCTTGCTTCCACCAATAAATGTATTATGGAAGCCATATACGTTTTTACTTTATAGTTATAGTAAGTTCTTGTTGATTTTTATAGTATATTTTGATGGTTTTGGTGGATTTTATTGTGAGCTGCCTAGGGTCCTAAGAGGCAGTGAGGAAGGAAGGAAGGAAGGAAGGAAGGAAGGAAGGA